CGACGATCGGAGTGCATCGCATGTTAGTCCCTGTTGTTCTCTTTCCTTCGCGAAGGCCATCGGCATGGGGCTCGAAGATTTGGAACTGAATGACAGCAGGCCTGGCACCATGCAATCTGTTGAACCTGCCTTCAGTTGCATACCCTAAGTTGGGACAAAGTGGACGAGTCCGCGAGCACCAGGCCTGCGACCCCCAGCAGAAGTGGCGTTGAGGCAACGCTTGTAATCATCCAATCTCTGGTTCATTCCTTGGATTTCCACACGTTCTTGCAGACACGAGAGCAACTTCCTCGACTTCCACTTGGAGGCGAGGACAACGGGCTCTGGGCACTTGCAGGACACTGGACTCAGAGCCGCCGACTCTGCAGAGGTCAAGCGCGCGAGGTCGAATGCTCGCCAACTGTCGGGGAGCCGGGGCCCCTCGCCAGGGCCAGCAACTGATTTTGACTTAGCTATTCGTGCTGCGACATCACCATCTGAATGTCAAGGCGTACCACGCGGATGCTGAACCGCGCAGCATCCACGGCGACTGGGCGCATCATCACTTTGAAACAGTCTCTCTATTTGTCTTGAATGTCTCTATGGGATGAGTGCAGCGCTGTGGATGCACCATATGCACCTGCTGATGTCCTCTCAACAGAGGCGCGTGGGCTCGTGAAACTTCTGGGCATTGGGGTCATGGTCGGAAGCTTAGCATGACCTCAAAGTCGTAGTGTCATATCAGATTCAAGTCTTCGGGTGGGAAGATCGAAGCTTGGCTGAGATTCTGGTCCTAATCATTGCCATCATGAACTGGCGCCAGCCTCAGCAGCGCGGTCTCCGTTTTGCCGGGATTCTGTCACTTCTTGAAGGCCGCCGTGGGTCATCGAGAGTCCGGAAGCCAGAGCATGGGCCTCAGTCTACCGCCCCATGCGAGAACGTTGGGAAAACAGCTGCACATGGAGCTGTGAGGTGCAGGTAATGTCCGTCCTCTTCGCGGCAGGGCTGTTCATCGTCGCTGTGGAAGACCGTCAGAGTTTGCCGAGACATGCAGCTTGCATGGTCATTGTGTGATGTTGAGTTTAGTCCAGTCATATCGCTTGATGAAGATGTCGGGGCTTAACTGCATTCTTCTTGCTGCTTTCCTGTATCTGATGTGCTGTTGACACTTATCTGCATAGCACATTGCAGACGTCAAGTGCAGGGTAAGCGTGGTTAGGTTGACCTCTCGCTGTAAGTGATGCGGCATGTGGTTGCCTCACGTGCAGGATGTTGTTGGCATCAACAAGTCAGCGATGATGATGGTCTTAGCCATTATCTTAAGCGACTTCTCGCAGTATGCATCGCTGCTTGGGTGCGCGAAAAGAGGGAGGAACATTTGAATGCTTAGGCCGCGGTCATGTGGACTTTCCTGGCTGTCGGCTACCACCCAAACAACTCGAAGGAGCTTGGTCTGCAGACATTCGACTTGCAGAGTTGCACTCAATGACTCAAGCTTGTGTTCAAGCTTGCTTGGCCTCTGCTCCAACCAATCTCATTCTTTGGCACTGTCGCTTCCTTTGTGCAGGCAGGGTACATGCAGCTCCACGAGGAGCTCAACCGTGGCTTAGAGGCATCCGGAAGATCATGCGCAGAATTCCCCACCTCGCAGCCTTCCTGTTTGCAGCCGCTTGCAATGCGGCACCAGGACGTGGGCAGCGTGCTCCTCTTCCTCTTGCCAGCAATGGGCCGGGTGCAAAGATTCGGACAGCAAACAGGGTGCGTGTAAAGTGACGAGTTTGCGTTTTGGAGACTGACTTGCTGCCTGCTCATCCCTTCTATTGGACCTCGTGTTATGAAGCTGTAGATGAAGTTCTGTAGCAACTAGGCTTCGAAGACTTGGTGTGACGTGCTGTCGAGTCACAGTACTCCAGCAGTTTTGGCCACGACTTTTATGTTTGACAGAGGTGTCGTCGAGTCCATCGATCACTTCGATGGCTTCGCTTTGGCTAATATGGTGCCCTGGCATGTCCTGGTGGCTCTCTGCCCTATGTCAGATATTGAAGCACAGAAAGGGTCTGTGGAGCGGCTCGTTGTCAGGAATTCTGGTTCCAATACTATGCGGTGGTAGCCAGATCCCGGCACCCGGTTCCCGAATAGTTTCACGTTCGAAACTTGTATAAAAAGGCGAGGCAAGCATGCCATGCGCGAACCGTGTGCCTTGTGCCTTCCCAGAGCTGCTGAGCTGTCTGCAGGCTATCAAGCGGGCCATCGAAGGAAGGAAGGACTGATGAATGCTGTAGCACTGTTCTAGGGCCCCACCCGGCAGGTGTGCTCATCACTCGGACCGCCGTTTTGAGCTTTGCGAGGACCGGCTGATGCCGATCATTTGCATCCTTACGTTCTTTCTCAGCTCCGTCGCTTGCCTGCGGCTTTGCGAGGGATCACTCGGACTCGGGCGCTGTTTGCCCTTTGCATCCTGCCTTCAGAGAGCGTCTTGACTTGAGCAGTCCCATTGCCTCATACTCTTACAAGATTTCTCCCCGGCCAGGTCATCGATAATCTCACGTCGACCATCGTGGCCGTAAAAATTCTGCGGCGGCTTGCCTCCGAAGATGAGGCGATTGTATCAAAGCTCGCAAGTCGTGGAGTGAAAGTTTGAAGCCTCCGAGTGGCAGGAATATCGCCGCCTATGTGGCGGCCTTGCTGTGATAGCAGCGAATGCCGGAGGCGACTGGCCAGGTGGCACACTGAAAGCGGAGTCCGGCAATGTGTTCGCAGGTGCCTGGTCACCCATCGGTGATGTGACCACCACCATGCTTTGGATTCAGCCCGGCACCGAGCTGTTTGCATGGACTGTGACTGTGGAATCTCACTGCGAAAGTGACAGCGAGAACTCGGCTGAAAGCTGCTTGGAAGTACTGCAGGGAGAAGATCACGGCCACGAATACTGTGCTGTGGCTGTTTTTTCCGTGGCGGGCTTGGCCTGTGCATGCCTGGCCTCTGACATGACGCGAGGTCGAGCAAAGAGTTTCGGCGACAGGGTTTCAATTCACTGGGTAAGACGGATAGGGCCGGAGGCGATGTGATCTCATTGTCGGACCTGCCTGAGTTGCGCCTTTGAATTCCTGGCACGGGAGCACTTAGTCGTGGCGAACTGGTCTTTGAGGTCGTTTGCGGCAGGCGTGCTGCCGCTGTGGGGCCTCAGGCCCGACCAAACTGCAGAAGAACAGGGTGCATGATGGTACATTTCTTGCCACGAAGTGCTAGGTGCCAGGCTCGTCGCCTTCTGGCGAGGCCTGGGCCAACAGAACACCGAATCAAGGACACCCCGTCGAGATCCGTTCGTTTCATTGCAAGCCCAAAGATGCTGGAAGTTCCGCACCTCGGCATCGGTTTTGATGATCTCATCGGCCTGTGGGCATGGGAACTCAATGGAAGTCATACGGACAACAAGCGCATCCTTGCCAGGACCGCAAGAAAGGTCCAGGATGGGAGCAGGACCCTGACAGTCAGATGACCTCGTGATGAAAACTGAGCACCACGGACGTGGACGGACGCTGGATAAGGTATGAGCATGTATGAGCTATGAGCTTCGGATAGTTTTGGCTCCAGGCCAGGATGAGAGATGGCGAGAAAAGGCGACTGAAGTTCAAGCTGCTAGACACCAATCCGTCTATGAACTTCAGCTAGGGCTTTCCGGCTCGGACTTCCGGGCCTTCGGGTTTTGCCCTCGTCCCACGGCTTAGCGATTTGTCGCTTAGGACTTGCCGTTGTGCTTCGCGACATGAGCATCTCTCAAACGCAAGCTCATTGGGCGTTTCCGTGACGGGTCGACACTGCACAGAAGAAAGCTATGAGACTCCTGTCTATCACATGTCACAGTTGCATACAAATCAGACACACGCAACACAGACACAGAGACTGCCCGACAGTTCATAGAGAGATTCGCCAGGAGCCTCTGAAGGAAGAAGGCTTGGACGAGGAGGGGTCCGGAGGGAATTGAAGGGATTCGCTCAATAGAAGGGCACGGGAGTTGAGAACAGGGCTGCCGCTCCTGAGTCTGTTAGATGGCGAGGACGACACCGAGCAAATCACCAGACAGAAGGCCCGGGTGACCGAAAGTCTCGGACCCATGCGAGACGACCTTGTTCAGCGCTTGTGTGGGATTCCGGCTTCGCAATTGCAATTGGCAAGCGTACTGAACAGAGGGCTTGCAAGGTGGATACAGCTTCTCGGGCATGTTGACTCGTGGGGTTTTGTTTCCTCTCCGTTGCGTCACCGTGGCTGGCTTGCAGGTGATCGCTTTGATTTTCGGCGTGCTTTGCATCCTCATGGTGTGCCTGACTTGCGTACACACATCGGCTCAGAGTTGGCAACAATGGTGTGGACTACGTCTTCAGGTTTCAAGGTAGAGGCGTGCTGGAGTGTTGCAGTCCCGATTGAGATTGTATTCAGGGTGCCTTGAGCTGACTGTGTACTGCACTGAGTTTGTACTGCCTGCTGAATGCCTCCAGTAGACTTGCAGATTCTTTCTCATAGGTCGTAGGTTCAACTTCTTCTCATTGACGTTCGCAGCCTGCACCGATTTCAAGCCAAAGTCGCAGCGAGTCGACGCTGTCGCATGCGATCACAAGCAGTGGTCTGCCTTGCAACTATACTGCCTGTGCACGTGGTCCTTAGTTTCATGCTTTGGCTGTATGAAACGAGAAAGGTACCCGGCCTGAAGATAGGCTGCGGCTTACCGCCGCCGGTGACTCAGATGCTGGCTGGCGAAGGCGAAGGTGCAACGCAGAATGCTCATTCCACCCTGCTTGCAGTTCTCCGTTCTCAAGTGCTCGTAAATGTGTGTCGGGCACGCTTCTGTTTAGCAACCGCGAATAGGTCATTCACTCCGGAATCCAGGTACTTGGGGATGCTGCTAGCTTTGGGTCTCATGTGGCTTCTGACGGACGTGATGCACTTCAGGGCCTGGTGCCCAGAGATCAGCTGTGGCTGCAAGTGGTTTATTGGCAGATGCACGTCATGTACGACTGGACTACCGGCACAATAGTTTGGGCCTTTTGCTGTAGTCCGAATTCTCCATCCGGCTTTTGGCTGAGCAGATTCCGCCCAGTCTTTGGCTGCCGAGGGCCACCTGATGAATGGAGATGCAGAAGAAGGCCACAGGGAAGTACTGCGGAGCTGCGGCCAGATGGAACAGTCGGCAGCGAGAGGACTGGCAATCACAGGGACGGAAGCTGAAATTTGTCGGACATCCGTGCATGGAGGGCTTGATCCTGCTGGACCCTTGAAGCCTCGCCAGCCCCGGCAGATGACCACGGGGGACCGCCGCAGTACGGAGTCGTCAGTGCGCTTCGCAAGGCCAGCTGGAAGACATGTCTCTTCCGTTTGCAGGTACGACGGCTAGGAGACGGAGAGTGCCCATCTCGATAAGCCTTGCAGGTCGATCTGACGGGTCTTCTCTTCTTTACCGGTGTGCTCTTGGCCATCGGCGCCTTTTGGCTGATTTTCGCTGCAAGACTCAAGGACTTGCGGGCATCGCCATCATGGGCTGTTGGGGTTGCAGCATCGTGTTGCGTTTTGTTTTTAGAAAGCAAGCAAGCCTCTGTCAAAGACGGTGCCGAGGCCCTCAATGCTGCAGGTGTCCTGAAGGAGTGACCTTCCGAGCAGTTGCGTGCCTTTGCGTCGGGGCATGATCTCTGCAGTCTCGGAGCTAGGGTCTAGTTGTCCAGTTGCGGGGTCCAGGGCAGGGTCGCAGCAATCAGACTCGAGTTGCGACGGCATGTATTTCATAAGCTATCGCAAGCTTCTCGTGGCTTGTTTGCATCCCGTAGTTTTGATCTGCTGCCGCCTTCCTGGCTTAAGCCTGGTCTCGGCAGCAGATAAGACAGCACACCATAGCACTGATCACTGAGTGCCAAGCTTGGCCGAATTTCAGCTGTAGTGTATGATGTCGGGATGTACAGGAGTAGTCGGTAAGAATCCAATAGCAGCACAAGAAGTTAGCCCTGATGCCTGCCAAGGCGGAGCACAGCACAAGCTAGTCGTCACAAGTTCTCAGCCCACCCAACTTTACAGCTCTCTGCATTCCCTCGAGCTGGCACGGCCTCGACGTTTCGAACGGCCTCGCCTTATTCAGCTCTTTGGCCCAGGCCTCAGACAAACCACCAGAAGCGACAAATCCGTGCCTCGAAATCGAAGCCGAGCTGCGCGATCAGGCCACCATGGATTCCATGCAAGGCATCGTCTGGGGAGCATTCGGTGGCACATGCACTGCTGAGCTCAGCAAGGTTATACCTTCAGTACAAAAAAGCTGCACCATGACGCCACTATGCGCCACTGCCATTCGAAGAAAAGTGAATCGAAAGGCTTCTAGGGCACTTGCACGTGTACCCTCTGGCCTTGGCAGAGACCTCTGCCAGTGCAGGCAGCCTAATCAGTGATCCCGCTGACTCGTTGGTGGCTGGCTCTGCTTATGGCGACTTTGGTGCAGGACGGACTTGCAGTGGCAAGCGCATGTCACGGCTCGTGATTTTTGCTTCCCACTGTGCGATTGACTTGTTGGCAGGCTGCGGCTACGATGCAGGAGGAGCTCCGAATAGTCGAGAAGCTTTCAGAGGAAAAGCGAGAGAGAGAGAGAGAGAGAGAGAGAGAGAGTGGGCATGCTTAGTGCAGACCCGAACAAACGAACCAGTGCGCGCTCGCGCGCGCGGGGGGAGTGCTTGCGCGCTTTCCCTTGTCTGTGCTGAAGAAGAGGGCATGCTGCCACTACTGCTACAAGTACTAACTACGCGACAGCTACAGCTGCAACCGCTGTCACGGCTGCTACGGCTGCTGCTGCTGCTCTTGCTCCTGCCCCCGCCCCTGCTCCTGCTGCTCCTGCTCCTGTCCGTGCCCTTGCTCCTGCTACTGCTACAGGTACTGCAACAAGTGCTGCTACCGCCCCTGCTTCTGCTTCTGTCTTGTGGAATTGAGCGAGTGCGCGGGGCATGGCCGTTTTGGACGGGGCTACTGCGCAGGTTTTGCCGGCTGCGGATGCGGCTGCGGCGCCGGTTGTGATGGAGGACAGCCCATTCATCAACCGCTGAGAGGGCTGGCTGCAGCACGTTGAAAAAATGAGCGTATTTATGAACATTGATGAACGACTGCCCTGAAACAGCACCAGCAAGAGAGAATCGAGTCGGCGCTACGAGTGCTTCTTATGCCTCGAGATAGGACAAGCCCGTGCTCTTCATCACGTAATTAATCATCATCATGATGACCCTCATCGTCACCACCGTCACTATCGTCGGCATGACCGCAGGCGTCGTCATCATCTTTTCTGTCACCATCGTCGCAACCGATACTCTACGTACAACAACAACAACAGCAACAGCAACAGCAACAGCAACAGCAGCAGCAACAGAACAACAGCAACAGCGAGCAAAACATCAATGCTGACATGATCGAAAGCATACACGGGCATGCTCCGCATGTGTTCCATGCCGTGAAGTAGTCAGTATAGTCTTTTTGCAAGGCTTCAAACTCTTGATGATATCCTTGCAGGTGGCTGCGGTTGCGGAGGGTGCGGTTTCAACTCCGGCTGCAATGGCAACTGCTTTGGCTGTGGTGGGTGTGGCTGCGGCCAAGGATGCCCAGGGTGCGGTTGTGGCTGTGACGGATGTGGGTGCGGCGGCTGTTGCGGCTGTGGCTGTGGTTCGAACCCAGGAGGCTGGACTCTTGAGTGGTCGTTTTGGCGGTCAGACAAACTCTACAGTTCTAATGACAGGTAACATCAGACAATTTGCAAGCAAACTTGCGTTCGCTCCGCTTCAAAAAATCAACCAGTTCCACGATTCAGTTTCTTCTCCACTTTCTGTTGCGTGAGATGGCATGTGCTTTTGTGAACGGACGAGAAGGGTCGAAAGGACCAGGTAGTCGCCGATGCAACATTGGGAGTAACAGCGGGCTGGGCTGAAACCGCGCGCTTCTGACAGTGGGTCGAAGGAAGATTACGCAGCGAGGCAGAACTTTGAAGGCGGGGTCAGGCCTGAGGCTCCAGACGCCGCGCTCACTGGCATCAAAACCATTCAAAACCGACATACATACAGCAGAGATGCGAAGATGTCTTCCGATACTTGAAGAGGCTAGCGCGGTTCCATGATTGCCCAATCAAGAATCAAGACTGATGCCGGGGTGGGAGCAAAAGCCCAACTCCAGTACGAAGTTATTTCCGAAACATGCTCACATGCCAGACAGACTTTCGGTGCAGGCTGTGGCTGCGGCAGCTGTGGCTGCGGCGGCTGTGGCTGCGGTGGCTGTGGTTGTGGATGCAACGCTGGCTGCGGCTGTTCCGGCTGTGGGTGTGGATGTGGTTGTGGGGGTGGAGGGTGTGGCAACTTCGGCTGCGGAGGCTGCAACTACGGTTGCAACTGCAATTCCGGATTGGGAGGGGGCGGCTGCGGGTGTGGCAACTGCTATGGTGGATGCGGCTGTGGAGGATGTGGCTGCAGCAGCTACGGCAGCTGTGCTGGTTGCGGAAGTGGCTGCGGAGGATGTGCTGGAGGTTGTCTCGGTCTTAGCTGCAAGCGCAGGAGATTTCTGTCCGTGATTTCCTCCAACCGATTGCTAGAGTATGGCGACCACTGAGTCATCCATGCTGTCTATAGTTATGTTCTCTCCGACAGCCTCAGTGTCAGCCTGATCGGCACCAGTATCTATGATACACGCAGGCACACATGCATGTACATGTAGATGTGGATTCAGAGAGAGAGCGAGACCGAGATAGTGTGGCAAACAATTCAAAGCTACGGACCCGAACCCTGGCTTCATTAGAAACAGTGTTTGAGTGCATTCAAGTGAGGGCCCCAGCGGCTGGCAGGCTGTAGCCGAAAGAGCTCCAGTTCAGAGCAGGGGAAGACGCCCGTTGGGGTCGTGGGCTGAGGGGTTCCCAAGTTCCGTTTTCGGTGCTCCGACATACCTGTCTCACCCAGCCAAGACATGGGAGTGCGAGGGCTGCTCGTGCTCTCTTGACTGTGCTGAAGAAGCGAAGAAGGCGGACCACGCTTTCTTGAAATTCATCCCTGGACGGCCTTGGGCTGCTTGTGAAAGAAGCCCTCCTCCTGTGATCCCGACTCTTCAGGGGCCAGCGATCGGCTCGGGGCCCCAATCGGCCGCCGGCCCCCGGACCAAAGAGTTGGGGACGGCCCATCCTCCCCGGAGCACCGGAGCAAAGGAAAGAGAAAGAAAGAGTGACACACCTTCGTCTGGGTGTGCGTATGTGTACATACATTTGTATGTACACACGCATACACGCATACCTACAGACAGACATGTACACATATACTATGTGTCC